ACACACACACACACACACGCACACACCAACACACACAGAGACACACACACACACAAACCAACAAACTACAAACACACACACACACACAGACACACACACACACACAGAGAGACCAACACGCACTCACACACACAAACCAACAAACACGCACACACACACACACACGCACACACACACAGACACACACACACACAGAGACCAACACACACACACACACACACCAACACACACACACACACACACCCCAACACACACACACACACACCCCAACACGCACACACACACACACAAACACAGACGCACACACACCAACACACACACACACCAACACAAACACACACACACACATACACACACACACACACCCACCCCAACACACACACACACACCAACACACACACACACAGAGAGACAGATACACACACACACAGATACAGACACACACACACACAGATACACACCAACACGCACCAACACACACACACACCAACACACACACACAAACACACAAACACACACACACACACCAACAAACACACACACAGACACACCCCAACACACACACACACACCAACACGCACACACGCACACACACACACACACACCCCAACACACACACACACACCAACACACACACACAGACAGATACACACACACACAGATACACACACACACAGAGATACACACAAACACACACCAACACACACACACACACCAACACACACACACACAAACACACACACACACAAACACACAAAACACACACACACACACCAAAACACACACACACACACACAAACACACACACACACACCCACCCACCCGCGCGCGCGCGCGCACGCACGACCTTCTTGTTGTCTCTCTCTCTCTCTCTCTCTTTCTTTCGCCAGGGCTAAGGACAAAGGGAGCAAGCCCCCTTTGCTCCCTCTCTCTCTCTCTCTCTCTCTCTCTCTCTCTCGCTCGCTCGCTCACTCGCTCACTCACTCAATCAAACAATCCGAGCAAAGAGCCCAATCATATCCAATCAGCCAACCCAATCAACCGATGGGATCAATCCGTCCATCCCTCCTTCTGTCCGTCCGTTCACCCGTCCGTCTGTCTTTATCTGTGTGTGTGGGTGTGTGTGCAGGGCTGGGTTGTGTTGTGTCTTAGTGGTGCCGGCTCTTAGAAAATTGTAGATTGCATGGGCCACACTAACAACGGTGACCTCAACGGTTCCAGAACCCTGTGCGTCACACAATGACCAAACATGTGAAGCCTGTCCTCGCAGATGGCTTTGTCCGGATCGAAAACCATCTCCTGCATGGTGGAAGGCTCGTGCAAAATAAGTAGAACTAACAGGTAGCTGAAGGTCACATATTTCGTGGATGTGTACAGAACCGAATAGCCAATAGATCTAAATGTCCGAGGATTGGACACATAGGTTGATTCGTCGCGTCACTTGTGGTTATGCAATGCTTCAGCTGGGCTTGTGTCTGTACACGTTTGTGCCCGATAAACCGTACAGAACTGGCTTTTGAAACACACACCCACGCAGGACCAGCGTCCTCCAGCGCAGACAGAAATCCTGCAAGAAAACACACGCCCGCAGCACTTGCATGCATGCAGGCAGATGGCTCAAAACTCGGCAAACCGGCCTTGCATTGGCCCCGGCTCGGCCTGCCAATGGAACCCCGTGAAGCAAACAAACACTCGGAACATGTGGAACCACATCGTGCAAAAAAGGAAAATTGCACTCTGGGCATGCTGTCGGCCTGGCCTTCTTCTTCTGCTCATTGGCAGCCATTTCTTTGATGTCTGCCATGGCCGCCTGCATTGCTTGCTAGTTGTCAGTACAAGCACCAGCAACCACACGACCATTTTCCCCACCGATTGCACATGACTGCGCCGAAGCCTCCAAATTAGAGTCATCGAGAAAATTCCCAGCAAAGGCCGCGGTGTCGGTCAAATTGACGACAAGGTGTGGGGCACCGCCGGGCACAAACAGCACCTGCACATTGTCGAGATATTTTACACGGATATGACCAACATTAACCCCGAGCACCTCTCCTTCCTCCAAATCAATGTCGATACGACGAGCTCGGTGGAAACCTGTGTCGCACGAACTCGCCTCGGCAAGCGGTGCTGATACGTGTGAAAGTGATAGCATTGTGCCTGTCATAGCAGCGACGGATTGTGGAGCTTTCAACCTTAATTAGTTTTTTTAAGAAAGCCTTTTTCCTCCCTGCATGGGAGCTGCCCAACTGCGCTGCCGAAGGCAGGCTTACGACTCGAACTTACGTAACCTCGCCTTCTGGGCGAAGCGCCTAGCGACTGGGGCTCGCGGGCCCTGCGAGCTCGGCGGAGCACGGATGGAGCGGCATGCGCCGGCGCCAGGTTCGCGCCGGCCTGCTGCACGGCGACCCCAAGCATGCCCCAACAACCGGCGAGACCAGCCCGCGGCGGGCGGAGCTCTTTGCGACCGGACGCGGAGCAGGTGATGCATGAAGCGGCTGCCCTTGCCATTCGGACGTCATTTTTCGGACATCATTTGACCGCCGAGCGTGGAACGACGAGCTCGTGAGGTCCTCTGCCGTAAGGGTCCATGGCACCACCACATCCTGGGTTGGGGCCGCCGCAGCTGGAGCAAAGAGCAGGGGCAGGCGCACGCGACGCCTCAGGGCGATTTGCCTCGCTTGTGGCGGGATGCGGCTTGCCTCGTCGCATGGTATGGCGGTGAGCCAATTTGTTTTCCGTCGAGTTTTTTTGCACCGGCCACAGGTTACGGTCCTGTGTCGGCTCGAAACCTAATACGGTGTTCACGCGCGGAACGGCAGAGGTCCAACACGAGCTCGAATGCCGGAGCGTCCGCCGCTGCGCGCGCACAAGGCACTCCTGAAACGATGCGCGCAAGTTCCACATGAACAAGTGCTGTTTCACAACAAGATCCAAAGCAATGTCGCCATCCGCACTGAGTTTTGCAAACAATTTCGGCGGAGGAACCATTTTTCATGCCCGAGCTCGACAACGGCAGGAGGTGCCGCCTCCTTCCTCCCGCCTGCTCGCGCGCGCCCGTGCCTCTGCCGCGCCGCCTGCGCTCCGCTCAGTTGCTCAGGCAGCCTGGGTTCTCCGGTGGAGTGGCCCTGTCGCTGTTGCTGCGCAAAGGGCGCTGGCAACTACGTTCCTCGAGCTGCCGCGGCACGCTGAGCCGCATGCTGCCGGACCAGTTCCTGCTCTGCACGAACTCCTCGCACACGCCCGTTGGACCAGTGGGCCTCAGCCGAGCCGCGCTCAGGGCCGCCCGTAGCGGCAGAGTGGGATGTAGTGGTGCCGACTGCGGTTGACGGGTGGCAAAAGGTCCGCGAAAAAAACAAAACTCCTCTGCCAGTTCTTGTCACACACCTTTATTCCGGTTACACCAGAGACTAAAACACTGCCGAGCTTCGCATGCTTGCAACCCATAAAGGCAGTCCATGCCCGAAATTAGGCAAATGATCAAAACGATCACTGCGGCATTGCGTAGCCGAAAAGGACCTCCAGGTGCTGTTGCCCCTTTAGTTCCGCGACAGCCGGCGTCTCGACTTGGGGACGGCGGTCCCGCAAGGGAGCTTGCTCTTCGCAGCAACAGATTCATGATTGTTACGCTAGTGCTGTCTGGCGGCATGAATTTCCGTGTGGCAAGTGGGAATTTCGAGGCACCTGGGCCAGAAGGCTCTTTGGCCGTGCGCCTTACATCTGAAATGATCGGGGATTGGAGGTTTAAGCCTACTGCGAGTACCACTACTAATACTACTATTATAGGTTACCATCATTACGGTGACGACGACAACAACATGTGCTACTATTACCACCACGACGGCAATTACGAGTACCACAGATACAACGCCGACTGCGACTACGACTGCGACGACGACTACGACTACCACCACTGAAACTACCACTAACACTACTCGTAATGTTCGTATCATTGTGTACTCGTCCTGCTACGACTACTTCCACCACCACCACCACCACCACTACCAACACCACCACCACCACCACCACGACTACTACAACTACAACAACAGCAACAACCACTACCACCATTACGACGAGGACGACTGCTACTACTAGTAATCGTCGTAGTAGTAGTAGTAGTCGTCGTCGTCGTCGTCGTGGTGGTGGTGGTGGTAGCAGTAGTAGTAGTAGTAGTAGTAGTAGTAATAGTAGTAATCGTCGTCGTCGTGGTGGTGGTGGTGGTACTACTACTACTACTACCACCACGACTACTACTACTACTACGACGACGACGACTACTATTTCAACTACTATCACCGCACAGTTACGGGCCTATTATTGCTACGGTCACGACAGCGACCATTTCAGTTATTACAGCGACAACGCACGCAACAACAACAGCAACAGCAATAATAGCAACAAACACCAACAATAAAACAACAACCCCCGCCACCACCACCACGACGACGATTACGACTGCGACTGCGGCTACGATTGCGACTACCACAACAACCACCACTAGCACCGGTGTCGTTCCGCAGCTGTCGCGTCCGTTCAGGGAAACGCGGGGGAATGAGCGGAACTGGAGCGAGGTGAACAGCAACAGTAGCAGTATAACATCACACAGTATGCCACAGAACAGTATAGCATGGCCACAGCATGCCGCAGGCCATCTTCGTCATCCATGGTGCTTGCATCGCTGGGGTTAAACCATGTGCTGCAATGCGACATTCGCTTCGCCCCTGCTTCACGGCAAACCACCCCGGCGCGGCCTCCAGGCGCACACATCCCACTTACACTGAGCTATTGCTGGGACAGTGGAACGCAGTCGCAGTGCAGCTGGTCTCGCGGCCCTCTGTGCGGATCACCGGCCCAGGGTGCGGTCCTGGAGTTAGCCCACTCGGAAAGGCTGAGCCACGTGCGACTGCTTTGAGCCGGCCTTCACCGCCCTAAAAGATCCTAAAAGGACACGGAGCTTCCCCCGGAGCCGGACTTAGCTGCTGGCGGAAACAGGTGTGAAAAACAACGGCTACCAGGGCGTCAGCGGAAGCATGGCCAAGCGCCCTTGTTTTGATTCCAAGTGAATCAAGAAAACAAGTTGCGAAGTTGACACATGCCTTCACCGTTGGATACAAGTGCTAGAGCTTCTGCAGCTGGCATCTGCGTGCAACGCAGAGACTCCAGCCCCCTGGCTACAGAGCACGTCCTAAGTCCCCAAGCGCAGCGGCGTGGCAAGGATGCTTTAACAATAGCACTGCCCGTTCGGAGCGCGTACAACCCAGAACCACGGTGCCGCAGTGCAACATATACTATGTATATATGACTTGTTATTTTGATGGGAACTGTTGTGGCATGCCCGTTCGAACGTGCCGTCCCCGGCTTCCATTTACACATGCCCACTCGGCGGGGCATTAATTTGTTTGCCTGTTAGATCTTGTTGGACTACAAGCCACGCCACGAACACGACGACAAAATCTACTTATGCTACTTTGACATTTCGACAGACAGCAGCTCTAGCACTACTATTACTACGACGACGACGACGACGACTACTACCACCACCACGACGACGACGACGACGACGACTACTACTACTACTACGACTACGACTACGACTACGACTACGATTACGACAACGACAACGACAACGACCACGACTACGACTACGACTACGACTACGAATGCTACGACAACGAATGCTACGACAACGAATACTACGACTACGACTACGACTACGACTACGACCACCACCACCACTACTACTACTACTACTGCTGCTACTACTACTACTACTACTACTACTAACAGGACGACGACTACGACTGCGAGTGGACTCTGACGATTACGACTACGACGATGCCGACGACGACGACGACGACCGCGACTATGAGCACTAGTCCTATTTTTAGTTGCTGATTGTACGACAACCACCACCACCACCACCACGACGCCGCCGACGACGACCACTACTGAGTAGTAGTAGTAGTAGTAGTAGTAGTACTAGTAGTAGCAGCAGTAGTAGTAGTAGTAGTAGCAGTAGTAGTAGCAGTAGTAGTAGTATCAGTAGTAGTAATAGTAGTAATAGTAGTAGTCTCCTAGTACTACTACTACCACCACCACCACCACCACCACTACTACTACTACGACGACGACGACGACGACGACTACTACTTAGTGGTCGTCGTCGGCGGCGTCGTCGTGCTGGTGGTGGTTGTCGTACAGGTAGGTCAAAGCCTCGTGTTGAGACACATGGGCATGAAAGGCCAGTCAACCATTTCGTTGATGTGAAACTGTTGGAGTTTGGTTCCATAAGGTCTCTAAACTAAGCCGATCGCCGCACATATCCAGAGCCATGCGAAAAACTTCTGAAAGCCATGTTTGTTTGGGTCTGCCTCGCTTCCGAAGTCCATCATGCCATCGCGGCTGAAACGTCCCATCATGGAAAATACATGTTCGCATGACATCCTCCCGTGGAAGTTGCGCGATGCGCCCCAAAAGTAGCAGCTGTCGGCGCCAAAGAATGATTGAAAGTTTCTCAGTGCCAGCTTCTTGTAACACAGTTCCGTTGCGCACGTGGCTGATGAATGAGTGTGGTATGTCGAGGATGGAACGAAGGCACCGAGCTTGAAAAGCATCAATTTTGCGTAAGTCAGCTTTACAAAGCCAAGCTGTATGAAGGGAATACATCAAGCGGGACACCACACAAGCCGAGAACATTTGTAGCTTCTTTGCGCATGCCAGATGAGCATGCTTTCAAACGCGGTTCAATGCATCGAAATCTGCTTTGGCCATCCCCAGCCGACGGTTCACCTCTGAAGTGATGGAGCCGGACGCGGAGATCACACTGCCAAGGTAGACCAATGACGTTTGGGTCTTGATGGGTTCGCCGTTCCGCCCTTGGATGTCAGCAGCACAACCTATCGGCAAAACTTCGGTCTTTTGCCAATTCAACGATAAGCCATATACTCTCCCAGCATCCAGAACTCGATACATGAAGGACTGAGCTTGCCGTGGTTTTAGGCTCAAAATCAAAGTGTCGTCGGCATAAATAAATCAAGTCATTGACGAGCGCTGGTGGAGAGTCAAGGCCTGAGACGGATTGGAACTCCCGAGTAGCATCTGTAAATAACACCG